CATTTTTATTTCAGAATTCTTCGATGAATAGAAAGTTCAAAAGAACAGCATTTATTTGAAATAGAAATCTTTAGATACATTCTAAAAAGTCTTTACTGTCACTTTTGATCAATTTAATGCATCCTTTCTGAACAAAAGTATTAATTTCTTTAAAAAAATGTACTGACCCCAGTTTGTTGAACAGTAGTGTATGTTCTGTATAAATATAAACATTTTCAGCATTGTTGCCTTTGAGCTTTCTTTTATATTTCACCATTTTTGTCACTAAAGTCAATGACAAATACCATCTGAAACACATTTGACTTGAATAATTTGACCTTTTTCCAAGTAAAAAAGCGATATTAAATTCAAAATTATGGGGCGTTCACAAGGACAACCATTTGTCGTGACATTTATATTTTGCATTTAGCAGATGCTTTTAACCAAAGCGACTTGCATTGCATTCAAGAAATACATTTTCTCAGTTCATGCATTCCCTGGGAATCTAAAAATGCATTGCTCTACTGTTCATGCTACAGGAACACAATGAGCAACAGCGACCAGTAATGGTGTGACAAAGTTGAGCAGAGTTGAACTATATGCTAGAGTTTTGAGAAGCTCCAGCGATTAACTATGAATGCATCTTTAGGTAAAGACAGGTGCGTGTTGTACCTTCTCTGGTTTGGTGTCCCAGCACTCCTGCATCAGCGTCTGCAGACAGTGAAACTGCACCTCCTCTGGGCTGCCCAGCGCCGGTCTGAGTCCTTTAGACAGCTTCTTAGCGATCTGCAGCTGGTGCTGGCCCATGCATGGTCTGCGGCCAGACAGCAGCTCATACAGGACCATGCCGTACGAGAACATGTCCACCTGAAACACCGACGACAACCGTCATCTAACAGCAACCCACCGTAATGCTGTTTAACAGTTTCAGGCGACCCGCGGCTCATTTACAGCCAATCTGCACCATGCAATTCCCTGTCTTGCCGGGCAAGGTAGCAAGTAAACTACTGTAGATCTCCATAAGCTGAGCTGTACATTGCACTTTATTTTCTGGCTGTGACATAATCTGATAAATTAAAACAATAATAAACATCTGGTCTCGTCCCGTCTGTGAGTGCAATTCCTGGCCAGAAAAATCTGCAGCACCGCAAAAAAACATTTTCTGACTTTTTGTCCCATTTTCTAATGCAAATCTAAAAAAAAAAAGAAAATCCTAAATCAAAATACATTTACTTGCGAAGAAAAAAAATCTTGTTTTCTGAAAAATGCATGAAAATTAGTTCATGCTTAAAACAAGAAAAATTATCTCAGTGGGGTAAGAAAAATAATCCCTTTTTTTTTACTGCACTGACATACTTTTTATTTTAAGCATAAACTTTTCTTAAGCATTAATTTTCATGAAGAAAACAAAACTTAATATCTAATAGACCTACTTGATTTTAATAATCTGACTTTCTCTCCCAGTAAAAAAAAATGCACAAAAAAAAATGTTAGTTTAAATATGCCAGTTGGCTAAGAAAAATAATCTTGTTATTTAGTAGAATTTAGTATATTTAATAACCATTTTCCTTAAATGAAGTAAATGTATCTTGATTTAAGAATGTTTAGATATTTGCAGTGATTTTTCTTTTGAAACACATTTCTTCAAAAGTAAAAATGTATGCAATATTCAACTTTTCATCCAACAGATTTGATTTATTCAGCCACAAACTAACAAAATTAATGACAAAATTAATATTTAGTAATTTCATACTTTCAGCCACTTGTTGTAAAAGTTGTTCTTAAGTAAATGTAACTTGATATAAGAATGTTTAGATATTTGTAATGGAAAACAAATTAAAAATGCTGATAATTTTTTGCAGTGAAAATGTGGCCCGGACTTTATGCCAATGGTGAAATGTGAGGCCAGAAGGGAGGAGAGACGGAAAAGCAAAGGATGAGTTAACAAAAGAATGAAGTCATGATTTCTGACACAGCAGATCGTACTTCACACACTCCTGTGGTTTGTTCGGCAGACATATTTCTATTAAGCGTCTTTCTAGGTCATTTCTATAAATGGCCATGAGCTTTGATGAGAGCCGTGTCAATCCCGGACTGTATTTTTAGGGCGCTTGGCTTTGCCAGCACAAAGAAAAAAAAGGCACATTTCCACATTTCGCTTTAATTTTGGTAGCCTGATATGACATCACAGAGCAGGCATGTGAAAGAGCAGGAAATAGTTTGTAGTTGAGACACACACACAGACACTCTCTCTCACACACACACACACACTCTCTCTCACACACACACACACACTCTCTCTCACACACACACACACACACAC